TGTAATATATATCGTCTTTTTGGAATAGATATAAAATCCTATATAATATTATAATAAAAATTATGTACTATGTATATTTTTTTGTTAGTTAGACAAAATAATCTGTAGGGATAATAAAGTATTATTCGGCCCGACAAAATGTCAAGCTTTAAAAATTTAGTCTCCTTAAGAATAGACATAAATTTATTTAAATGATAAAAGTAATGTACTATGTAAATTTTTCTGTGAGTTTAAAAAATATTCATCAGAGATAAAAAGGTATATTTTTCTGCCCGACAAAATGGATAGCTTTAAAAATAGGTAGGATGCTTAAAATAGATATTTAAAATATAAAAAAAATATACTAAATATTCTTTCTTATTCGTATAAATCGGGATTAATCGGATACAACCTAACGATACACACATTGGTTGTAGTTCATGTTTTATCATTGGCCATAATCTTTAGTTTATGAGGAGAACAAATCCGAGATATAGCCACATATAGCTGTCCACGTGAATAAACAGGATGAGGTAAATAGTTGCCAACTTTGTTCAACGTTTATCCCTAAGCTAACTAATTGTCATGACAAAAGCTGGTCTCACGAGAAATTAGCGGGGCTTAATAGAAAATGGTAAGCTAGAATCAGTTGGAATTAAACTTATTCTAGGAATGAAAACTTTAATGCTGAGAAAGCTACCATAAACAAATTCCTCTTCAAACAATATTGTAATTGAAATTATGACCCATTACTAGAATTGAATTTACTTGAATACTGTTGAATTGAATTTAGAAGAGAATGATTTAAAGAAAATATGTATTTTTATTTTTTGATATCTAAAATTCATAATTTGTTTCAATATAATATAATTTACTTTACACTTTAATGAAAATTTTAGTGACCCATTAGAATTGAATTTACTTGAATACTTTTGTGTTGATTGAATTTAGAATAAAATGATTCGAAAAAAATATTTATTTATTTATTTTTTTTTTTTGAAATTGATAAATAAATGAATAAGAATAATTAAATACGTAAGGATGACATGACGTAGCGATGACATGACGTCAGCCGTAGCGAGGACATCGGAAAATTATAATTATGCTAAAATATAAATTTATAAAAAATATGAAAATAAATTGCAGAAAATTACAAATTTGTTATATAAGATGATATATTTTTAAAAATTGAAAACAATATCAGAATAAAAAATTTATTTGTAAATATCAATAAATCAACCATAAATCAGCATTATATATTAATATTATTAATTTTCAAGCAATTTGTCATTTATCCTTTGACGATTTGGTCTGTTGACCATATTAGCTAAGCTGAATAATCGTTCAACGGGGGCAGAGGATAGTAATATTGTGTAAAATTTATTAAATATTTTTTAAATATAATTATAACTATTTACCATATTTATTAATTGAAGATTTGCTGACATTAATTTCAATATTATTTTTAAAAATAATTAAAGCTTCGTATAGTGTTGTTAAACGGCTCATTTTGAGCCGATTTTTAAAAACGGCCAACTCAATATTTTATCTAGAATAATATTAAGCAAACCTGAAAATTTTGTTTATAGAAGGAACAAAAATTTGGACATCTACTAGCGAAATCTCGAGGCTTAGACAATATTTTTCTGGGTAAAATATTGAGTTAGCCGTTTTTAAAAATCAGCTCAAAACGAGCCGTTTAACAACACCATCGTGTATTAATAAATCCTTATGATTTTTTTTTAATTTTTCATCACCAAACCAACGATTTTTAAAGTAGTGGTTATAATTAAATATTTGATATTTTTTAACGAGATTTAATATTGGAGCTGGTTCGCCATAATAATTGATTTCGCCTTGTATTGTCAATCGCTATAGCTTATTGGGAGATTATAATGCAATATTCTTCTAAATATTGCATTGTAATATCTTAGTTTTATTCTAATTATTTACATAGTTTTGGCAGTTAGCTTTTAAATTTTAATAAACTAATTAGACTTAGAGGTCTGCATTGGGTGAGATTTTAGCCCTCCCGCCCATTTAAATGGGCACGCGGATCAAAGCTTTTAAAATAACGGGCGAGCAGGTGAGCGGGTTATGTAAAATTTTAAGCTGGATGGGCGGGCGGGTTAAAACTTTTATTTGTTATTTAAATTTATTAAAGTAAATATTAAAAAAAATATCTGAAATTTCAACATTTTAATACCAAAGTACTGATCATTAAGGATGTTGTCGGAAAAAAATAATTAGGTAAAAAAAATCGAAAACATGTTGAATTTGATTTGCATGTAAGAATATAACATCAATGTTGAAAATCTGATTTTACCCGTTTCCCCAAAAGCAATGGGAATTCGATTAAAGATTATTGAATTATAAATGAAATTCACGTCAAAATTAAACAACAACAAATTAGAAGATGTGGTTGTTAAGAGGAGAGCATTACCTAATGACATATTAAGATATTCAATTCTTTAAGTAACGAGTTTTAGTATGTTAGCAAAATTTTAGCTGTTTAGTTTTAGTTTACAATTTATAAACAATTAATTTAAATTACTTTTTTTTAAATATTACTGGTTTCACTTTTTATTTAAATATCTCACTTAAGTAGAGAATATACTCAAACGGATATCCTACTTTGATGGAAACGACAAGAAAATTTTTTATTAATATTGGCATTTCCAGCAACCAGTACTTTTTCTAAACAAGTAATTAGCATTGCTGGAAAGTTTTTAATATTAATAAATAATTATTTTATATTATTACATAAATATTTTATTAGATCAGATAAATTCCTTATCCGTAATTTAAATTAAATATTTTTTTATGCTTAAAATAACAATTTCCTAAATTATAAAACTTTTTTTATAGGGATGTAGCTATAAAACTAAATCGTTTTTTTTTATTAGATGCTTAAAAAAAATTGAAGGAATGAGCTTATTTAAATCTATATTATAATTTTCCGATGTCCTCACTACGTCATCGTGACGTCATGTCATCGGTACGTATTTATTTTTATTTTTTTTATTTGTTGATTTTATTTATTTATTTTATACAAACAGATGTTAATAACATTTTATCACATTTGATTTTGCAAAAATGGATAGATATTTATAAATAATACTGCTTGGACGGTTCAATAAGTTAATCATTTTCCTTGAATTCCATCGGAGTGCCAGTTATTTAAAAAAATTCTCTAAATAAGGGCACTCTAGGATTTTCATGTGAAACAGGCTGAAGGCTATGAACCATACAAGTATATAGTAAATCTTAAAATAGGAATATCTTTTAAAATAATGATAATAACTTAATCAAAGTTTCCTTTTCACTGATTTCATAAGTTAAATATTAGAAGAAGTAAGATTATTAAATTAAGCTAAATTCTTTTAAAAAAAAGAAAAGATATATACTCTTTTAACACTTACATATCACTTACACTTTTCACTCCATACTCTTCATTATAATATCACAAAACCTTTCAGGCAACTAATCCTTACAATTGCCTTATTCACTTATATCTGTTTGTTTTCTGAAGTTTAAATATTTAAATAAGAATATTAAATTAAGTTAATTATACTAAATGTTTTATCTACTCTATAAATTAAGTAAGAATATTTAATTAGGTTAAAGCGTTGTGTAAATTTAATCAAGAAAGTGTTAATTTAGGAAATTTGAATGCAGGTTGATCTTATGTGGTTCAAAAACATTATGACCAATGTAAACTGGGTTACTCTTTAACACTTACTTTCACTAAGTATCACTAAATATCACAAAATTTCAAGCAACTACTTCATATAAATTGCCTTATTCAATCACATTTCCCTGTTTTGAAAATTTTAAATATTTGAATAAGTCTATTAAATTGTGTTAAATTAAACTGAATATGTGGTTCAAAAACATTATGATCAATTAAACTGGGTTACTCTTTAACACTTACTTTCACTAAGTATCACTAAATATCACAAAATTTCAAGCAACTACTTCATATAATTTGCCTTATCCACATTTCCCTGTTTTGAAAATTTTAAATATTTGAATAAGTCTATTAAATTGTGTTAAATTAAACTGAATTTCTCTTCACATATTAGGGCAGACGTTATTTTGTCATATGTTATTATTTTTATAAAGTAATATATTTTACCCGTAGACTAATTGGTAAATCACATTAATTATAAATTTAATATCACTGGGCTTGGTTTCAAAATTATTAGGGATTGAGGTGGGCTTGAGAAGATCTTTTTAAATTATTAAGATCTTGGATGCTTGGATATTTTTTCCAGATATTGTAGGCTTGAACCTATATTGGGATTTTTTAATGTTAAATGTTAGACTTATGTTAATATTTTTATAAAGATATATATTTTAACTCAAAGAATAGTTTTCAGTAACATAAATTTAGACTGATTATGCTATGCCGACAACATATGTATCTCTATTAAAGATATCACTAACATTCACTATTTTAACAAAAGTCTCAAATAATATGGGAAAAATCAAAATTTAAAAAATACTAAAATTCTCTTTTCCCTTTTAATTTCTTTTATTATCTTCCCCTTTCTCGTCATTTCCCTTTCCTATCTTCACTTTTTAATTTTCTTTTTCTTTACCTTCCTTTCCCTTTTAATTTCCCTATTTTCTTTCCATTTAATTTTCTCTTATTTCCCTACCTCAGGCTACACACTCCAGCCGAAGCTATTATCAAAAAATAAAAATCATTCAATTCTTAATTCAACTTATATTCAAGCAAAAAAATTATACTGGGTTATATGACGTGAAGCACAATACAATCTACCAAATGCAAAATTAAGTTATTCATCTATATATACTAAAAATGCTTATACTTTTCATTTTAGAATACATCTATTTTAGCTTCTGATGGATGATATTCCTACTATTTCTAGAGAGGTTATCGATATTGACTCCTCTTCAGGTTTAATACATTAATATGTTTTTTAATTATTCTTTTGTTTTTATTTTAGATAACAAGCCATGTCCTAACCTCACTTAATGTTTGTACAGGTGGTGATTTATCCGTCATTAATAAAAGAAAAAGATGGCAGGTCAATCAAAAAAAGAAATGGTCCAGGGATCGTGAGGCCCTACAAAATCTACTAACAACGCAAAATAAAGTTAGCCTTATATATATATATATTAAAAATGCATAAATGTTTTTTTATACTCTTTTATATTATAGAATACATCTATTTTAGCTTCTGATGATGTTCCCACTATTTCTAGGGAGTTGAACCTAATATTGACTCCTCTTCAGGTATTGCATTTATATTTTTTATATTATTCTTTGTTATTATTTTAGATAACAAACCCTGTCTTAACCTCACTTAATGATTGTACAGGTGGTATATTGACTCCTCATCAGGTTCAATGCATTTATTTTATTTATTTATTCTTTTGTTTTTATTTTAGATAACAAGCCATGTCCTAACCTCAGTTAATGATTGTATAGGTGGTGATTTATCCGTCATTAATAAAAGAAAAAGATGGCAGGTCAATCAAAAAAAGAAACGCTCCAGGGATAGCCAGGCCCTACAAAATCTACTAACAACGCAAAATAAAGTTAGCCTTATATATATATTTTTTTTATACTCTTTTATATTATAGAATACATCTATTTTAGCTTCTGATATTGTTTCCACTATTTCTAGGGAGTTGAACCTAATATTGACTCCTCTTCAGGTTCATTGCATTTATATTTTTTATATTATTCTTTGTTTTTATTTTAGATAACAAGCCCTGTCTTACCCTCACTTAATGATTGTACAGGTGGTATTTTGACTCCTCATCAGGTTTAATGCATTTATTTTTTAAAATTATTCTTTTGTTTTTATTTTAGATAACATGCCCTGTCTTAACCTCATTTAATGATTGTACAGGTGGTGATTTATCCGTCATTAATAAAAGAAAAAGATGGCAGTACAATCAAAAAAATAAACGCTCTAGGGATCGTGAGACCCTACAAAATCTACTAAGAACGCAAAATAAAGTTAGCCTTATGTATATATATATAAAAATGCATAAATGTTTTTACATTTTTTATATATTTTAGAATACATCTATTTTAGCTTCTGATGATATTCCCACTATTTCTAGGGAGTTAAACCTTATATTGACTACTCTTCAGGTTCAATGCATTTATATTTTTTAAATTATTCTTTTGTTTTTATTTTAGATAACAAACCCTATCTTAACCTCACTTAATGATTGTACAGATGGTGATTTATCCGCATTAATGAAAGAAAAAGATGGCAGGTCAATCAACAAAAGAATAGCTATAGGGATTGTGAATCCCAGCAAAATATACTAACAACACATAATAAAGTTAGTGTATATATATATATACTAAAAAGGCATAAATGTTCTTATATTTTATTTTTTAGAATACATCCATTTTAGCTTCTGATGATATTCCCACTATTTCTAGGGAGTTGATTCTAATCTTGACTCCTCTGCAAGTTTAACGCATTTATTTTTTAAAAATTTTTTATTTGTTTTTATCTTAGATAACAAACCCTGCTTTATTTCCTCCTTATAATTGTTTAAATATTGATATATCTACCATTAATAATCAACAAATACAAAATAAATGTTCAGAGAAACATGATAGTCTTGATAAGTCCCCAAGACAAATTTTATTTTTTGATGATAGTATCCTAACTACTAGAGATATGCATATATTGAACCCTCTACAGGTTCAGTACAGTATTTTAATGTTCGTTTTATTTCAATAATAATGTTTATTTATATTTTTGCCTAATTTTCTTATTTTTTTAGGTTAACCCAAACTTGATCCCTCACATTGCTACAAAACATGATATTTCTATTAAAGATAAGCAATCTGAATTTTGATTGTATTTTTAAATTCATTATGATTATTTAAATATTTTATTTCAGTTCTTAACTACCAAAATTATTATGATCTTTCATTGGGCTTGGAAGTTTTTCATAATTAATATGGCTTTGGACTTAGCCTGGGAATTTTTTTTAATTTTAAGTAATCAGTAATATTTAACAAATAATATTGGTATTATCAAGTAAATGCTTTAAATTTATTTTTACTCAAACCATAGCACTTATTTTTAATGGATTAAACCTGGCCTGAAGGGATGAGGGGGGTAAGAAGAATAAAAATTGGATATTTTCAAAAAACAGGTAATATGCATAAAAGTAAGAAGAAAATTTTCATTCCCCGTCATTTTTGACAGGCTATCTACTAATTTATATAATCGGTGTCCGAATTAAATTTTTAATTTAAAAATAACATCATTTTAAATTTTAATACTATTAATATAATTTTTTTTAAAGTATCTGTATCTTTATGAATAAAAAGTTGATTAAGATACAGTTTTTTTAAAGAATTTGTATCTTAGATACAAGATCTTTTCTAAAATTTTAAAAAAGATACAAGATACATTAGTATTTCATAATGGAACATATCTATATTATAATTTTCCGATGTCCTCACTACGTCATCGTGACGTCATGTCATCTCTACGTCATGTCATCGGTACGTATTTATTTTTATTTGTTGATTTTATTTATTTATTTTATACAAACAGATGAATGGAATTTCGAGAATTGATGGTGTACACATACCTAACATGCATTGTTTGAAAAATCGTCTTTGAATTGATAAAAACAATATTCCCTCAACTTTGTAAACATGAATGAAACTTTTTATTTCACTTAATCCTTTCTTTATTTTTTAGATTACCTTATCAATTTTCATCTCATATTATCAATTACACATTATTGAAATCTCTACAAGATACTCAACTTGTATATTTATTTTGAACATACTCACAATTTTTGTCAGTACTTACATTACAATTTTTTATACTCATATTTTTCTTTCATAACCAATAATTAAGAAGATAACCAAGTATATTCAAATATTCTTATCCTAACCTATTTATAATCTCCAATCCTTACAAATAACTCTTTCTTATTTTTTTCCCCTCCCTTAATGAATTTATTTATCACTAAATTTTATTATCTCATTCTTTTCTTTCTATCTTTATTATCTATTAGCCACTATTTCTCAAAACCATATATATTCTAATTTAATTTTTATAATATAATAATTTATACCTTCTTTTTCCACCCTTTTTTAATCTTATTTTTTAATCTTATTTTTTAATCTTATTTTTTAATCTTATTTTTTAATCTTATTTTTTAATCTTATTTTTTAATCTTATATTTTAATTACCTTACAATTAATTAACCTTAATCTTAATAACATTACATTCATCATGTTATTTTCTAACTTTTAGAATATCATATTAGGCTTGATAAGTCCCGTAAAAAATTTTTTTAATGATAGCCAAACCTTATTAATTCCTTTAATGTAATTTTTATTATTTTTATAATATAATAATTTATACCTTCTTTTTTCCCCCCTTTTTTAATCTTATTTTTTAATTACCTTACAATTAATTAACTTTAATCTTAATAACATTACATTCATCATGTTATTTTTTAACTTTTAGAATATCATAATAGGCTTGATAAGTCCCCCAAAAAATTTTTTGATGATAGCCCTCCAACTACTAGAAATATGCATCTAATTTTGACCCATCTACCGGTTTTACATTATTTTAATGTTTGTTTAATTTCAACAATAGTTTATTTATATTTTTGCCCGATTTCTTTATTTGTCTAGGCTAACCCTAATCCCTCACATTGCTACAAAACATGATGAATCTATTATTAAAGATAAGCAAAGAAAATAATGACGATTAAACAAACGCCTTACCCATTCTAGAGTTACTGGTAGACAAAATAATAAAGAACTACGCTCGAAATGAACTCATCTGGAGGTTTATTTTGTTTTTTTTATCTTATGTTTTATATCTATGTTTATTTTATTTTCACCCAGTTCTCCAAATTATACTATCATCATTACCACAATCCCTATGCCTCCGCCTATTTTTTAACAAATATAAACATTTAATTCTGTACTATCATTCACTTCATTAGGAGTTAATATAAATATTACTTTATCCGATTCTCTGAGAAACTTTCATGAATATTTAGAGGAATGTTCAAACTTAAATGTGTAGTACGGCCAATTTCATCAACTTTATTAATGAAAATATATGCAGTAGTTCTGTCGTGGCCTTTATAACAATACTTACGACCGTTTTATGGTTGAGTTAACATTGTCGTTCATGATTCTATTTTAGAGGGGGATACCAATGCTGACATTGACAGAAATATTGTTTTGCGTTCTTCTTTTACCAGTATCCCAAGGCATAGGCTTATCATCTTTATCAGGACGTAATGTGTTTTGTACACTGCTTTGTTAATCCGTCATCACTTTCATCTACAACCCTAAATGATATAAAATTATACATTAATTATTTCCTCTCCAGACGACCGCCCAGATTTATTTTATCGCTTTTTCAACAAAAATTAAAATGTCAACAAGGATTTGCTCTTAATTTTATCAAATACATAATAAATAATCCTCATTATTTTTTAAAAAATTTATCCTAAATTTATATGTCAATAAAAAAAAATATCTTAAAAAATATATAAATAATTTGCATATAAGTTTCATTAGTGTTAAATGGAATTTTTGTAATTTAAATAGACAGCATTTTTTTTTTTACTTAACATAAAAAAATATATATTCCTTATCGAATTCTTTGACAAATAATTTCAGAAATGCAAGACATACATTAAATTTATCTGAAAAAAAACAATAACCCTATATAATAAACATATTTTTTAGATATAATTTTAATTGATCATATTACAAAAAAGTATAAGAGTCGGTTATTTTTATTTTATTTTATTTGTCATGATTCTCTAATAAGTGGTTGCCCAGGCCTTCCCAGTTTCCCTTAATACGGAATTTACATGTTTTTTTCCATATTACTGATATTTCCCGTTCATGTGATGATATTAAAAATTTAACTATCTCCGAGGCGGGAAAAAATATTTAAAATTATAATGGATAGGACTTGGCTTGGAACCTTAAAATTAATATTAGCTTGCACCTGACTTGGGAATATCTTTTACAAATTATTAAGGGTTGAGCTGGGCTTGATAAACTTTTTTAAAATTATAAGATCTTGGATGCTTCCTAATATTGCGAGCTTGAACCTGGCATGACATCTATCGTAAAAAAATGAATAAAAATCTCATTCCCCGTCATTTTTGACTCGCTTTCTACTAGTTTGTATAAAAAAAAATTCATAAACATTATATATTATTATTTATTAACTATTTCCATCACAATATCTAAAAGACTATATTATTGAAACACTATGAAATCAAAAATACAATTTCATAAACCAATAATTATATCTAAAAATTTCTATCTAAATTTTCTAAT